GTTGGCAGTTCGAATTTCAGTAGGCTCAAGGTTGACTCAGCCTTCCATCCTTCCGAGGTGGGTAAAATGAGGACCCAGATTGTTGGGGGCAATATGCTGACTCTGTAAACTGCTTAGAGAGGGCTGTAAAAGCACTATGAAGAGATATGTAAGTCTAAGTGTTATTGCTATTGCTTATTATTATTAAATTATTTATAGTAGCTAGGGATTGATAAACAGAACATTGGGCAGAAGCCAGCAAAATGAATTGCAGCAAAGTCAGTGCAAACTCCTACATTTGGATAGGGGGGGAAAAAATCAAAGGTTTGAATAATGGGGGGATCATAATGGGCACCAGTATATGCAAAAAGGGTCTGGATTCTCAATGGATCACAAGCTGAATATGAACCAATGGCATGTTGCAGCTGCAAAAACAAGCAAATGCAATCTAGACTATACCAATTGAACTACAAAATCAAGGTCAAAAGTAATTTTCCCTCTCTATTTTGATTGCTTAAGCCGGTGTTTCTCAACCTTAGCAACTTGAAGTCCGGACATCTTCAAGTTGCCAAGGTTGAGAAACACTGGCTTAAGCTATATCTAGAATATTATATACTTTTTTGGACATTACATTTTGAAAAGGACATTGACAAACTAGAGCATGTCCCAGAAAGGGCAAATGAGATGATGATAAACTGAAGAAAAATGTACTGGCTATTGTTAGTCTAGAAAGGAGCAGATTGTACAGTGACACGGCAGCTGTCTTCAAGTATTTGAGAGCCTAACACAGAGAAAGAATTCTTCAGAGTTGCTCCAGAAGACAAGAAGAAACAATACGTTTAAATTATTGGGAAACAGTTTTTTTTTTTTAATATCAGCCTAATGACAAAAGCCATTTATCAGTGGGCTGTTTTTGGCTGGAGATGTTAACAAGACTGAATGGCCATCTGCTGAAGATGTTATGCCTGTGGATTCCTGCACTGATCACAGCATTGGATCATATGCATGACCCAACAAATGCGCGCCCGACAACAGCGTGCCGACAAAACCACGGGGATAAAACCGTGATGTCGACAGCGCGCCCACAAAGGCGCGCCGACAAAACCGCACCCACAAAAGTGCGATTAGGGTTAAGTTAAGGGTTAGGGTTAGGTTTAGGGTTCTTACGTTGTTTTCGCGTTGTTTGTTGATGGCGCGCTTCTGTCGGCGCTCTTGTCAGCGCGCCTATGTGGGCGCGATTTCAACATCGCGGTTTTCTCACCGCGGTTTTGTTGGCGCGCTTTTGTCGTGCGCGCATTTGTCGGTGAACCGATCATATGATCTCTAAGATCCTTATATCCTATGATTTATGATAATTATTTAGTGAATTCAGTGTGTTTTGAAGAATGATCAGCGATTACACTGAAGAAGCGTAAAATCTAAAGAGAAACTAGTATTACAGCTTGAATCAACTGAACTTGATAAACAAAAACTTTAGCTTTAGCTCCCACCCACCCCACCCAGCATTAGAACCCTGCATTGCTTGCAGGATAAGAGCAGATCAAACAAGTTGATTGTTTGAATTGAGAAATATTTAAAATGCTAGAAAATGTGATTTTGCATTCAGGCCCATTGAACCCTTGCAATATATACAGGCTCTATTATGCTGCAGAAATTAATTTAAAGACTTAATCTTGCTGTCTCATATCAGTTGCTCATCTGTTTACATCTACCTATGGAATCACTTGTACTGAAATGCTTCAACAGTTTCAGGCACAATTGAAAGCAGGAAGTTATCTAGGAAGATTTTACCCTAGAGGTGTTACTGACAGCCTTGTATATATATGTTACTTGGGCAACTATCGATTTTTGCATTCTGCAGTTAGAAAGGTTAAAGTTTTGGTTTTAGAATGGGTGTTTTCCATCCTATGTTGATTTAGGCTTCTGCATAAAATATTATCTTGTAGTGAATTCTTTATATAACTGTAGTATATTGCTTGAGAACCAATTTATTGTGATTAAAGCGGGAGGGGGAGGAGGGAGAGAGAGGGAAAGAGAAAGATCAAATATCTAGAAACAATAATCTTCGGATACGCTACAAGGCGCTAGTCATCACTTATAAAGCCCTTCATGGTATTGGACCTGGGTACTTGAGAGACCGCCTGCTGCCAATTACCTCCACTAGACCGATTAGATCCCACAGATTAGGCCTCCTCCTAATTCCACCCGCCGGCAAATGCCGACTGGCAACTACCCGGAGGAGACCCTTCTCTGTGGCTGCTCCGACCCTCTGGAACGAACTCCCCATGGAGATTCATACCCTGACCACCCTCCAGACCTTCCG